AAAAAAAAAAAAAAAAAAAGAATGAACACACATTTCTGTATTTTAAATAGTAACAAAATGTTTATAGCGTATATACATCATTTCTTAAATGATTCCTCGCTTTAACCAATTTGATCAATTAACTGCCTACCTATCAAACTCATTGGTGAGGAGGACCTCTACTATACCTCTTAATATCCCCATGTTTAATTTAGGTTTTAGCCCTAATTATTTTACACAACTCTTAAGTTTAACGAGTATCTCAATGGATGAGAAAGGATACAACTCAATGAAGAAATAAGGGTGACGGCACCTTTTACACATTACCCACATCTCAGATTCTGAAACGCAGCCCCCAACTAACAAATACTGCCACTGTAAGCTGGTAAGTCACTGATATTAAAGGAACTATACTGAGTGATGTTCGGATTATTTTTAATCAAAAATTGAGAAGCACTATTCTATTAATATTTAATTGAAACCAGAAGATCAGTAAGCAGAATATAATTAATTTAATAGGTCACTATTTTCCTTCCACTGCTTTAAATATTACTGTTCTTGTGAAAAACACTGTGGAATCTAAAATGGAATAAAATGATTAGGACTTCTACTTTTACCTAAACTGGTGCTTTCCACAATACAGATATAAACAGCAATGATTCCGTATTAAATGAAATTCACTCATCAATAATTACTGAGCACCTACTGAGGGTGAGGTATTCAACTAAGCTCTGAGAAAAAAGCAGTAAATAAGTCAAGACTCACATGGTCTCTCTCTACTGAGATTAATATCTAAAACAGTGTGATATGGACTATAAAATGGGAAAAGTACAGGGAGTAAGAAGAACAAATAAAGCTAGCCTACAATTCAAGAAAAGATTCTCCTGAAGAAGTGATGTTTAAACTATGACCTATAAAATACAGTAGGAATTAACATTAACCAGATAAACTAGGCATGGGAAGCAAGTGGAATTCTGGGTAACAGAAAGTAGTATGTATGAAAAAGCTGGCATCGCTTAGGCAAAGAATGAAATGGTACAAATGAGACTAGAGGGCCTTATAAAGCAGCTTCAGGAGTTTAGTGTTCCCATGAAGAGAATGGCAAACCACTGCAAAGGTTTTGAGGGAGAAGGGAACATGATCAGATGTGAAGTGTTAAGAGGGACTGTAGGAAATTGGTGATAATAGAGATCAGAGTTCCAGAGATGGCAGGCAATGGCTTGAACTAGGGTAGTAGCATGAAGAAGCAGAGATGAAAAAGAGTGGTTATATAAAGAAATTTAGGTTTAAATGACAGAGTGGTGATGTCTCCTATATCTTCAAAGATAACAAGTCAAAGATAACTCCCAAATTTTTAGGTTGGGCAACTGTTTTCTTGTTTTGTTTTATGATGGAGTCTAACTCTATCATTCTGGGTAGAATATGGTTGTATCATTGTAGCTCAGAGCAACCTCTCAAACTCCTTAAGTTCAAGTAACCCTCTTGCCTCAGCCTCCCAAGTATCTGGGACTATAGGCACACACCAGGATGGCCAGCTAATCTTTCTATTTTTAGCAGAGACTATGTCTTGCTTGTACTCAGGCTGATCTCAAACTCCTGAGCTCAAGCAATCCACCCACTTCAGCTTCCCAGAGCGCTAGAATTACAGGCATGCACCACCATGCCTGACCCAGGCAACTGTTTAGATGGTAGTATCAAAACACACGCTCACATACACACAGGATAATGGAAAAGAAGCCAGCTTGAAGATGGGTCTTTGTTGTTGACGTTGTGTGTTTGAAGGTTAGTAGACATCCAAAGACTAGAGTTCAATAAGTAGTTTGATATGTAGAGCAAAAGAGCAGTCTGGGATTACTAGCACCTACAGATATTCCTATGGTTATGCAACACATGGTTTTAAATTCCATTTTACGCAGACTGTTTTCTAAGACAAATTCTAAAATTTCAGAGGCATGTAAAATTATAAGTTCTTTGGAATCACAAAGCAGTATGTTGTGGAAATGAATATAACAAAAGACTAAATAAAAAGTAGAGATGAAATATATACTACTAGAAAATGTTTTCCTTTTAGGGTTCAACTATTGCTATGGCCATGTGAATTCTCATTTTATTATCTCCTGTGTTTACTAACATTATAGATGAAATTTTAAAATACTGTCTAATGATAATCTAAACCAAGGCTGGAAAAAGGCTATTAAAAAATAAAGAGAAAATTGCAATATTTATGGCTAGTTATAAGTAGTTCAATACACTTAAAGCTCATTCTAATACTCCTGAAGTAAAAATGGAGATAGCCAGGCATTATGGTGGGCAACTATAGTCCCAGTTTCTCAGGAGGCTGAGGCAGGAAGATCACATGAGCCTAGAAGTTTAAGGTTGCTGTGAGCTATGACACCATAGCACTCTAGCCAGGGGCAACAAAGTGAGACACTATCTCAAAAAAAAAAAAACAAAAAAAAGTAAAAAATGGAGAAAGTTTGGAGTACTTTTAGAAAAGTAGTACATATATAGCATTAAAGGCTATGTATGCTACTATTAAAAAAAGAAAATCTATGGCAAAGTTTGAAAGCTGCTAAAAATAGTTTTAGACCTTGGCTGTAGATAATGTAATTTACTGCCAGAAAAAAATACATTTATAATTAAAGAAGTTAACAATGCTATCTATTGATACTCAGCTTCTAGAAAATTCAATTTATGTAAGAACATCTAGGACAGACTAATTGCACAAGAGAAGTATAGTGGACAGCATACTAAGACCACGTAATATGAGTTCAGAAAAAAGCAGGAAAAGTGAGAAAAGCAGAGGCAGCAGGACTAAGCACCAAGAAACACCAACACTGACAGGGCAAGTAGAGAAGAGTGTCGGGTCACAGAAAGAGCACAGAATTAACAATGGAGAGATGCAATTAAAAACCAAGCACAGCGTTTACAGTGCCCGTAGCACAGTGCTTATGACACCAGCCACATACACGGAGGGTGGCGGGTTTGAACCCAGCCCAGGCCAGCTAAACAACAATGACAACTGCAACAAAAAATAGCCAGGCGTTGTGGTGGGCGCCTATAGTCCCAGTTTCTTTGGAGGTTGAGGCAAGAGAATTGCTTGAGCCCAAGAGTTTGAGGTTGCTGTGAGCTGTGACGGCACAGCACTCTACCAAATGCAACATAGTGAGACTGTGTCTCAAAAAAAAAACAAGCAAGATTAAGTCTGACCACCAGCTTTCTCAACATGTAGTTTATGAAAAGGGTAACCATATAATTTATTTTATGAACTAGGATATCTGGGGAATAAAAAGGACTATTTAATAACAACAGGCATAGCATGAGACCACTCTGGGAGAAGTAGGACATGCAGCTTGAGTCATGAATAATTTTGTAAAAAGCAATTTCAGGCTCAGCGCCTGTAGCTCGAGTGGCTAAGGCGCCAGTCACATACACCTAAGGTGGCGGGTTTGAATCCAGCCCAGGTCCACCAAACAATAATGACGGCTGCTACCGAAAAATAGCCAGGCATTGTGGTGGGCGCCTGTGGTCCACTTGGGAGGCTGAGACAGGAGACTCACTTGAGTCCAGGAGTTGGAGGTTGCTGTGAGCTGTGATGCCACAGCACTCTACCCAGGGGGACAGCTTGAGGCTCTGTCTCAGAAAACAAAAGCAATTTCAATAAAATGAAGGGAGAGGACACTTGATTGAGGCAGGCTAATGAGGAATTAGAAGGTAGAGAAATAAGCATAAAAACTCTCTCAGGAAAGCTGGCTATAAAAAATAAATGAAAGACAGACTAATATACACCTTTTTCCCAAAATTCTTCCTTAAAGAGAGAATGTAAATGACATGTAAGAAGCCCAGCTAAATCACTTAGTCAAGAAAACAGACTACAGGTTCTTTTCAAAAGAGCAGATATAACTAAATTTTAGGTTTTCTAGTTTATAAATAAAAAATATTATTTTTGTGAAAAGTCTTTCCTAATATACAATTCTATATAAGAATATCATTGACACAGCTGAAGGACAATAGATATTATTTCAAAAAAGAAAAAGCAATATAAGCAGCTAAAACTCTAAGAAAGGTCATAAAGTTAAAGACAATTGTAACACAAATCAGCTTTTAAATTTTGCTTTAAAAAAGGAAAAAGGTATATTCCTTAATGTAAACAATGTATCGTGCTTCCCTTGTATCTACAATGAGAAGGCATAGTCATATACTACATAAGAAAAAGTATAGGCTTTTAAGTTAGATATACAGCTTCACCAGTTTTTAGGGCTGTTAAAACAATGGATCATTGACTTTGACTCCCTAAGACACAGTTGCTTCATCTCTAAAATGGAGACAACAATATCTACTTCAAATAATTATTGATAGCTAAATGCAATAATATTTGTAAAGTACTAAGAAAAAAGCCTGGCATACAATGAGTGCTCAAAAGATGGTAGCTATCATAACTGGACAGCTATTATTATATATAAGGAATTATGCCCTGCACTGAGCATACATGCATTATCAGAACATAGTGTCTACAAGAGTAGACAGACCATCAGTGTAACAAGAAAATAGGAACTGATAGGCACAAGGAGACAACAGTGAAACAAGGCAAGGCTCAACTACAAGGCTCTCCTCAAAGAATGAAAGTTCTAAGATTTAATGTGAGGCATTAATCAATATTTGTTGCTATTTTTAAAGTTTAGCCCAAGGTGCCAACAAGTGAAGATGCAATACTATCAGGGTAGGCCTGCCTGGCTGTGTTCTGGTTAAAAACAAGGGTCCTGACATCAGGAGACACAAAATCCTTCTTGAATCTGTCACTGACTAGCTGTATAAGTATGGCAAATGACTTAACTTTCCTAAGCCTCAGCATACTATCTTTAAAGCTAGGCTAACAATAATGCTAATCTCAGAGAGGTGTTCAAAAGTTTAACTGAGACAAGATATGCATAGTATTCAATACAGTACCTGATACATATTCAAATAATAATAAATTATTTAAGGAAGATAAAGTTAAGGTGAAAGATCACAGGGAAATGGGAACAGGAAGAAAAACGGAAATAGTGTCAGGTTGAGGAGTAACAACCATATAGTGGACACAAAAGAGAAAAATTAAAGTTCTACCTAAGGGAATATAGAAAAGTTAACACTTATCTCAACTTTTAAATTATAAAAGTATATGCACATAAAAATTTCTAAGGCTGATAGCAACAAGTTTATGATAAAAGGCTCAGCGCCTGTGACTCAAGTGGCTAAGGCACCAGCCATATACCCCTAAGGTGGTGGGTTCGAAACCAGCCCTGCCCGCCAAACAACAATGACAGCTGCAA